CAGCCAGCTCTGACCTCACCTCACGTTCAGTCCGATCATGTACTAGAGGCTCAGGGTCCGGTGTAGTAGCCCTAGACATCAGATCCACGGCTGCAGTTGGTGATGATGGCTCAGGGGTGCCTGCATCGGTGATCCTCGGATCCGAGCCGTCGTTATCCTTTACCTCGTCGTTCGTGGACCTTGCGCTCAGGGAGTCTAGCTCCATTGATGGCTCAGCAGTCTGTCCCCCTAGTTGTGTCTGGCGTCTTCGCTTTCGCATTTTGCGTGTCCGGCGTCGTAACCTCTCATGGACTCTTGACTGGTGCTGCCGCTCCCGTATGTTCTGTTGGCCTCTTCCTGCCGATGCTCCTTCCGGCTCGGATTCAGGTTGCTCCGCCGTCTGTCTCGCGGGAATAGTGGTCTCCAGGTCCGCGGCAGCGCTATCGTCCCTTATAAACAACGGCGAAAACACAGGTGAACTCTGGGAAAGCGGGTCACCATCGCGATCCATATGCAGGTTGCTATGAGAGCAAGGTTTCCCGAAAAAAGCAAAATAGACGCAGCGACGGACGAAAAATGTGGTAATTGTATCGGCAATTATGATCTCGTCCTTATGAAGATAGTCTATAAACAGATGTAGGCTGTCTTGCCTATGCGTCCGCTTTTGGGGCGTCCCGCATCGTGCTCGAGCCTTTACGGTGCTATCTGCCAAAAGCTCAGGGTTCCGCTCAGGCTCGTAAGGGACAGCGGCTGAGAAGCACTCAACGATCCGGTCGACAAGAGCATCGAATTTGCGCACGTCATATCGAAAGCGGTGGGGTTTTCGGGCCTGCAGAAGAGCATCCCGGGCGATCTGTCGGTCAGGAGACCCTTGCAAGAGACTCTCAATCTCCGAAGAATGGAATCCAAGGCGGCGCGCGAGGTCTGCCATATCGTAGATCGTACGAGCATCTGCCATGGCTCGATTGGGCTTTGCCAGGAGATCGTCATCGTTCTTCGGATCAGTTGGCATGAGAGTATAGTTCCGCATGGCAAAGAGCCAAACCTGTCGGTAACCGAGATCGAGGCATTCTGCACAGCCTGCGCGTTGAAGACGCTCAGTGCACTCGGACGTCTGAATGAGACAATCTTGTTCGAGGTCTGGTGAACCATGGAACATATGTTTCATGGTGTTCCATATGGACTCGTTAACGGGCCCGAAGAGGCGCTTAATGCACTGGGCGCAGTTTTCCAGATATTTGAAATCCTCGAAAAAGGTATATAGCGACGGTACCAGACCATCAAAGACCTCCAGACGGCTCCAGATAGACCTTCGCTCTGTCTCACTGAAATCTGAAAATGCCCGGCCACTCAGAACAAGGCCACATGCGGTACTTTTATCCGCGCGGCTCTTACCGGGGGCCAAAAGCTGCAGGTTATCTACAGTATCTTGATCTATTTTCTTCATGGCAGCCGTATCGGCGCCGACGAGAGATGACCAGAACTCCTCGATGTGTTTGAGATAGGTGATCATCTCCTACGTGTTGTCAGATGTATATTGCAAAATGACCGAGAGTAGGAAAGAGGAAAATATAGGTAACTACTCACTTCTACACAGTCAGTGGCAATCAGACGATGTAGCATGCTGATCCTCATCCCATTGGGCCAAATGCCTGGAATCCGTAGCAATTTATCAAAAGCGCCGCGAAGCCGGCGATTTCTGCGGTTGTCGAGTTGTTCCAGCCGACCTTGATTGCTTTTTGACAATCGTACAAACCACCGCTCTCGGAAAGGCTCGTTCTTCTCACCTTCATATTGTCGTATTTTTCGATATATTTCGCCATCAGTTGGCGACTTCTGGTTGGAATATTCTTCTACTAAAGTCGTCCTTAGTTCCTCACTAATATCTGTACCGAAGCACGCAGTCAGTTCTCGTCGCTTCTAGAGTAGAACAGGGCAGCGGTCAGACCGTCAAAATATAGGTCTACGGCCCACCATCGGTCGATGGGCGCCAGCACCATAGAGCCGGCCTGCGCGCGATGTCGTCCATGCAGACCCCGCAGCTTGCCTGATGGGAATCGGAGACTAGGAAGACGCTCAGCACTCTTAGTCATCAAAGCGCCGGCTGTCACTTCCGCTTGCTCGAGCGCCGTGGATAGATCATTTCGAGCTACGATCACTGGAATACGATTCTCCACGTCAAGGCGACGACAGCGATTCTTTCGAAAAATCTGACAAATCCTGTCTAGATTTCTCGAGTCTAGGTCTCGAGGCAATGGTGGGTCAAATTCAATGTCACTGATGCTGACTTTCGCCGACCCTCGATATTTCAGGCGTCGCTCGGAGGCGAGGCGCACCTCTTCCTCAGTAAACAAGGCCCGCTGCATTCGGTCTAGCTACTTAGAAAAAGGCAAATATGATAGATTTATTGAGGTACAATAGAGATTGGGTAGATGTGATGCGCTATCAATGCGGTATTTGAAGGAACTGAATCACTTGACCCTCCAACAGCTGAGGGCCACTGCTGAGGGAGGGCTCTTTCCCCTCAAGAAGACTGGCCGGGTTCTATATAAAAATTGTCTGTTGGTGCAGGCGTGGAATTGATAATTTTGTTTCTGCTCATCTCAACCTACTGCATCCAGACATATCCACTTTCATTTAATACTATCATGTCGTCCAAGAAAGAAAAACACTTGACTTTGCTTGATGTTAAACATCTCGATTCAATCAAGCCCCCTGCTTCCCTTCCAGGAACAAACGCTTCATCCACCGTACAGGCCAACAAAGTCGAGCACCTGGTGAACAAAATACCATATTCAAGTGGCTGTTTGACTGAGAAGACGTCGGCCCCTTTAACCCAGATAAACGAAAAGATCAAGCATGACCAGCACCGAGATGAGGCTTTGCTCCACCCTAGCAATTCCGGATACCGATCTCTGCCAGTACTGCATAAAGTATGTCCTTGGAAAAGCTTCAAAAAACGATTTGATTGTGATCTAGCTGGCACTGTAGCCATAGTTACCCGTCGATCCGATCCTTCAGATATTCAGACAATTCGCCAGTTTGCACCTAAAGATGGCAAGAATGTAATGCAGGCTCTTCGTTCTCTTCGTCATGAGAAGATCTTCTCCGCTACGGAGTGCTTTCAGTTTGATGGTATATTATATACCGTGAGTGAATTTTACCCGCTCACTCTTGAACACATCGTTGCATGCAAAGTTTTCCCCAATGAGCGGCAGCTCGCCGCAATCATGGAGCAGGTTAGACAGACCTCCACATTTGCAAGTTAACACGAAATCAATGTGGTAAATGATCCTAGTTTCTCAGTGGTCTTTCTTATTTATCCTCGAAACGGATCAGGCATACGTCTCTGAAAAGTTCAAGTATCCTGATGAGCATCGAGGGACAAATTAAAATTGGTAACAAATCAACGATAGTTAATTTCTTTCGTGTCGAGAGATCACTGACACTTCTTAGCACGCATAGACTGCTGCCGTAGACGATCTCCGGATGAACCATCAAGAGCCGACCTGATCTCTGTCGCTAACGTGACTATGGAATTGATGCAGGGCTATGTAAAAGACGAGGGCGTAGTGGGCGTGGACAGCCTCAACCGCTCGTCTTCCGGTTCCACTGCACTGGACTTCTTATCAACTACTACTTCTGCCAATTCAGTGGATGAGCTCAGGAAGGTATGTGCAGAGAAGCTTTCATTTAGGATGCAGGCTGATGTTGAATAGCACCCTCTTATCACGAAGACCAGTCCGTCTATGAAAGAGTTAATGTGGCTAGCATGGTTTGCGCTCTATTCCGCACGCACTTTCTGGTCCTATACTCCTTCGTTGGATGAGGTTGAATAGTTGTACTCGGGATTTGTGGGGCTGTTGAGGTTAGTTCAGTGCTGGAGACCAAGCACAGAAGCGCAAAATCGGTCGACCCGCTTATGGCTTGTCTGTTTTCTCTCCATAATATCCTTGATAATAAATTCTGCTATTCTATTCAAAGTGAAAATAGAAAGAGTGGTTAGTCGATTTGAATATCCTAAGCTTCACCAAATATCATATAACATGCTATCCTCTACTCGCTTAAAGATCCCAGCTTCCCAATTATCGAGCTATATTTGTATGACAATAACCCCAATTCATTTATTTAATACATGTTCGTAGAGCAAGGACATACGTTGAGTACTCCCGTTCACTTGCACTACAGAAGGCGATGTCTAAATGGAGGATCTTGGACGTTCCCAAGGCTTCAGTTGATATCATAGTTTGATAGAACCAGAATTAATGAATGTAGTCAATTGTGTTCACAAAAGTAGAGCGTGCCTAAAAACTGGTCACGCTTTACTGATCTTGAAGAGATGACACAGTAACGCTACCAAGACCTGCTCTTCTTGATGAATGATGGTTTGTAGGTTCTATTCAAATGTAGCCCCATGTGATGAAAGCAGTGGTCGACAAGGCTAAACCGCTTTACATATTGTCAGTGACAGATTTGAGTATTTAGAGAGACTTTGCTTGGAAATTTATTGCGACTATATTTCGTGGTAATTTGTCTTGATAAAGACCAAAGCATTGACATAAGGCGTTGTCGTCGATACGAGCTGTAGAGGCGTACTATGCCTATAGGCTTCGCAGGACTTTCTGCTAAACTCTGCTTTGTAGATATTATTGACCGCCTAGATTTGGCTATTCTTTGACCAGTATAACCCTCTATACTACGCAGGTTCTTTTTGTGCCTGCCATAGCCAATGGCTCTATATGGACGTTAACCTTGAAAAATAATAATACACTGCGCTCTGCGTAGCGTATCTTGTGCTTGTATTGAATATACACCTGGTCAGACTTCAAGAATCACGTCTTTCTAGGTATCGTTTGGACTAAATCTACAGATTTTATTTTCTATTCTGTGAGGCAGTCCATTTTATCATAAATATACCTAACTTATTTGGTATATCGTCTGAGCATCTACTATAGTAATGTAAGCATCATCATTCTATTACATGTGAAGACTCAAACCCCCTGTGTACTGACTTCGTACTACTTTAGGAACCAGCATGCCTATTAGCACATCCCAGGTCTCTTGTGATTGTGTAGTTCTCCCAAAATCCTTGGAAACAATGTAGTAATTTCATATCGTCCATGAATAATTTCTAGGTACAAATCAATTATAATGACAGTGTGGTTGAAGTCTGAGACCAGTAATTGTTTTCTTTGCGTAAAGTGGCCCGCTAAAACGTATAGACTGAGAATGAATTCTTGCTTATTGGCTGGCAATTTTGCTCATATCTGTACTAGTCAGCGATCTAGCGAAACGACGGTGTATATAATAGCTATTCGCGCCGTTCTTTTCCTTCGGTTGAAGAAGTTCTGTTAAAGTGCATGATTTCTGGCCATACGAAATAATGAGTAAGTCTTCTATGTTTTTCTTAGGATATGTTGTACTGACAGCCAACTAGTTAATGAAGCTCTTGACCAGAAGTCTAGTTCTTCTGAGAACACCAGGATATCTCCAAGAGGCGAGAGCGGGTCATTCCAGCCCGCAACAGTAAACACCATCGGTTATTCCCCTGAGCACAGCGAACTGGAAAATTTGTATAGCAGATTGCATATAGGGGATGAGAGGTCTCATACCGTTAGGGAACCGGGACGAAACGAGGCCATTCTCAATGAGAGCTTTTGTGTAGGCAAGTACGATGCCCTACCGGAAACTGAAGCTCCCCTCGCCCACTACAAAAGAACTCTAGGTATGTAGAAGAAGGACATGCATTTGAGCAGTTTCTAATACCCACATCAGAGTTCACTGAAAGGAGAAATTCCATGGACTCCACAAACTCAGAAGCGACAACTATAAAGTGGAATTCCGATTCGGAGATGATTCTAGTGGACAAGACAGATACAACTCAGCTATCATCTACTTTACATTCGGGGGTAGCAACGAGAACTATTTCATCCTTGGGTACAGCTTTGGCCACAAGAGAAGCTCCACGGATCTCTAAGCCGAAGACTTACTCTTCAAAGCGTGCAAAATGGCGGAGGTTGTTGACTAAAGTGAGAAACCAAATAGGTTGAAGCAATAGGTTAGATTATGTAGAACCTTTCATTCACACGTTAATCCAGGAACCGTCCGTACGGCTGCCATCTAAAGGTCTCGAAGCCGTGAAGAGTGATTGAAAATATACAACCGATGCTTAACGTAGGCCATAGTCTGACTATATTAATGCATTATTTTATTGAAGACTCAAGGTTACTGTGCGCCCGCAGGAGAACGATGGCATATAATACAGAACAACACAATAGAATCAGTCCTGGACAAGTGCTACACAGTAGATGTGCACATAACGCATCTGGGCAATGTACTTAATTCAGAAGCTATTCGCAATGTAGGTTGTCTATTGAACCCCCTGCATAGGTTACATACGCGCAAAAGTTTGTGTTGTGCAGCAGCCAACCATGCCCGTCACTGCCACTTGGCTCTCCTTTTTTTTTGCATCCGGTCGCTCTCGCTGAATGTGAATTAGATACCTACATGTGATCTGATAAGTCTGAAAGTTCTTTCTTTCCTACGGGCACCAGTGGTGAGAATTTTGTCATCAAGATCATGGTAGCACACAACTGCTCTGCGATATTCAGATTTATATCCGAACATAAACCTGATCTTTTATCTGTCTGCGGGCTCCGAGGCCAAGACATTCTGTATGAATCCTGCTTTACCTGCGGTGGGGGTATGTGGACGTCCTTATAGTGGACATATGTCATTATCAATGTCCTTGCAGCCGTTATAGCTGCGCCAGCCCCCCTGTGATGTAGGATCGTAGATGGCTGAAGGCTCGTAGTAGTGGGAGGTCTGGCAAATGGGATATCACCTAATGTGGCACGAAGCGCAACAGACTTTCCTTGTAAATCTTGAAGCAAGTTCCCAAAGCTCTCGACGGCTACCCAATACACGATTAGCTGTTGTACCCTCAAATATTGCACGGTGGTATCCATATTACGTTGTAAAGAAGAGTCATCCCACTTCGATGCTTCTGCAATGGATTGCTCGGTGACTTATATCTTTTTTCTGTAACCCCAGCTATTCACCATGGCTCGAGAAGCCGTTGAAAAATACCGCTCTTGAGCGCCTGGTACACAGATTCCGATACCTTAATCGTATGTACTCAGGTACTGCAGTGACAGATACCATCACCATTGTTCTGAGGTCGGTTTGGATCCAGATGGCATATGAAACACCGATACAACCAAGATCATGGTGTACATTACACTTTGGGTTCGAGAAGGGACTGTCGTTTCTGAGGAATGTGCTGAATTTTTCGTCCAGAACCTGCTGAATAGCTTCATTGCCAGGTACTGTGCGAGGCTCTCACCTCTACTCAGAACAGTGAGGTACGCTTTATAGAGCACGAGACTTAATAGCAATGACACAAACCGTTTCAGACGGGGGCCCTTTTGAAGACTAAAAGGGTCCATCTCGAGAAAGTCCCCAAAATACGGCACAGTATCAGATACAGGAGGTTCTATTCCAAGGTCGGAGAGAAGAAAAAGACATGCGCATACAGAACGAAGGGTAGGGTAACTTGCATCCCTTCAGGGTAGACATACTCTACAATTAAGTACTAGGCCTTCCGTAACTATGTATGTTCAAAAATACTAGACAGCTGGCGCCCATTGATAGCGCCTACAGACAATCACTACAGACAAGAAAAAGCAAAGAACAGATTCAAGCAATATCTCTATTTACCCATCAAAGAGGTCATATTCAACCGTGATCCATAGAAATGAGATCACCTAAAAACATTTCCTTACTAGGCACCTGAGAGTTACCAAGGGAATTAGCTCTAATCATCTTTTGTAGTGCATATATTCATATATCCTTTCTTCTACGAGGTTTTCCATGGTGTATAAACCAGACTATGACAAAACCCGATGCAGTGATGTTCTTCCCGCACTTGGCCTGGCGGTTTAGCAAGTTTACGGGTTCTAGACTGGATGCGCTGGAGAGGCGATCGCGATGATCCCTTGTTGTTTTCTTTTTCTTTCCCCGTTTGTTTTCATAAATGTTTAACCCTCCACGATATGATGATATAGGGATGAGAGCGTCTCGGAATATAAAATGTACCTAGATAGAAAATCTTCATGCTTCGAGCCAACATTTATGCCTATAAAGACTAGATCGCCTTCCGATTCTAGTCTAGGGTGAAACTCAAAAACCGCGTCCCTCAATGAAGGGGTTCGGATACTTCCCCCGCCTTTCAAGCCTCACCCGAAAGTCTTTTACGTCACAACCAGATGTTCTCCACAGGAACACAGGATGTCATGTCGCCAAGTGCTGAGTTATTAAATCAAGTCATCGTAAGGCTAAGGAATGTTTAGCTCAATACAAATTGTCACATATTAACCACTCCTATCAGCTATATGCAAAGATGCTAACTGGGCACCTTGGTCGACCTGGTTCTCCTTCATACGTGTAACTCTACCTTTTCGACAGAAATTATGGGAGAAAACAACCAATGGCCATGGCTACTCCTTGACCAAGCGCAGCCATTTCTATATTGGTCCAATAGGGCAATGGAAAGTGCTAACAACTTCCCTGAGCTGCTAGAGACATGTGGTATGATTTATCAATCAGGGACCTCAAGCACTGCGACCTGCGCTTCCAATACCCCCACAGTAAGTTCAAAATAAGCCCTTCCTTTCCGTCCCTGTGCAACCTAAGGCAGTTGTTATAATTGTGTAAAGCATGCTGACAGTATTTGAAACACTAGAGCATAACCGCATGCCATTCTTCACCGCAGCACAGCGACTTTGAAAAAGTTACCTACCCCGATAGTTTGCCTACGAAGCATGAAAAGAACTTAGAGACAATTTCGAACGAAAAACCTCACATAAAACAAGCGAAGCAAGTAGAACCACATAATCCAACTAGATCCTACAACGCCGACTTGAATTGTGGGCTGGACGCTCCTGTTCTAAGTCAACAGCCAGGAAAACAGAAAACGCGACCATCACGAGATGGACTTGTACGACTTCGTCACCCACAAAAGATTGTGTCGAAAAGATTGGACCCAAACCTATCCGAAGTAGGAAAGAAGGCACATAACCGGAACGAAAAGCGGTATCGAGATAATATAAATGCTAAATTTGAGCAACTCGAAGATATAACTAGATCTTGCGCCATAAAGGCCGAAGACCTGAACAGCATTGATGGGAAGTCAAAGAAAGGCAGAAAGCCTAGTAGAAAGGCGTTGATTTTACAGAATGCCTGTAACTGCATTGCGGGACTCAAGGCTGATTTGCTACTGTTACGCAAGGAAGTGGATAAACATGGCATATCGGTATAAACTTAGCTTGAGGAAAATACTAAGCAGGAACAAATAAACACAATGGCCAGATTACACGGCCTTAAGTAGGCTATAAATATCTCAATCCGATCATAAAATAGAAGAAAGCTCGCTGAGAAAACCGGAAGAGAAGCGAAAAACTCATAATTCTCATTGGAAGCGCAACCTTTGTGACCGACGTAGCAGCGGTTTCGCGTCGGTCGAAAGGGAAAATTTCAAGACGCGTGAGTCGATACTCAAATCAAACCCCCGTCACGGAAGGCCGCATGCCTTGGTAAGAGCTACATTAGGCGTATTCTTGCTACTTCTATTCCATTGAAGCCCATATACAATCGTCACGAGTAGCTTCTTCGTGGTCTGCGGCTAAGGTTCTCTTCACCCTTTCTCCCATGTTTTGCAAGCTTAAATCGTCAGGGATCAGGCCTGTTTCAACCACGTTTCCCACTTGATGCTCGTAGCTCTTCAGCACATCCATTAAATGAGGACGTTTCTCCTTCATGTGCCTAGCTAAAGCATCGAGGTCTTCCTCAGAATATTTATTATTGTTACTAAATATTCGATAGTGCACTGTATAAGTTCTCTCAAAAATTGGTGGCGTACTAGATTTATCAATTGATTCACCCCCGATCAGCAAGTAGCCATTTGTTTTCTTGGCAATAGCACTCACAGCTCTCTCGCATTTGAGGTTCAGGATCATATCATCCAGAAAATCGAGAATCATCTTATCCGCAACCAAGCTTGCAAATTCTCTATCACTAACCGAGAGTGTATTCTTCTTTACCGCCATCGCACAGGATTCGAGAGTATATCAAAGAATGGATAATGCAGAGCAGATGCGTAGAGGATAAGTCTAGGATGTTGAGACAGAGGTCCCTATAAAGGGTTCTCTTCTTTATTCGTGTGGGGTAGGGTCTGAAACTGCACGCATCATAGTAATAGGAATCGATACTGTACACTCCTTTAGACTGTATTGTATCGGAAGTTGAACGACTGAAACTGAGAAGTTGACGCCAGCGTTGAACACATAAATTGGGTACACCACGGATGGACTGAAGAAAAGCTCTACCACCGACCAACACCAAGGTATCCCGAAAATATACATACTGGATATGGCTCAAAAAATTTAGATTATTAAAGTCTGTTCCCACGGTATACAACACTAAGACCTAGCTAGTGATTATTTTTGTGCTATACCGATTGGCTCATAATGGTTGTTCAGAGCAGGCTGATGGAGACTTTACAGTACAGTACCCTAACGTTGGGTAACATTGAAATAATCATCTGTGGAAACCTAATATTTTTATTCAATTCCAACTTACTTTCCTAGATTGCAACATTATTTCTTTCCCTTACCGTCTAGTATTGTCAGATACTTATCATTTTAACTTTTTCGTACCTTGCTAAAGACTTCGATGATGTCGAAAGGAGCAAGATATGGCTTTGTCGAAGAATTTTCGGTCGAATTAGATAGCCAGAAGCCCCAAAAAAAAAAAAAAAAAAAAAAAAAAAAAAAAAAAAAAAAAAGAAAAAAAAAAAAAAAAAAAAAAAAAAAACAAAAAAAAAAAAAAAAAAAAAAAAAAAAAAAAAAAAAAAAAAAAAAAAAAAAAAAAAAAAAAAAAAACAATCAAAGGGAATAAGAAAACTCCAGAAGGAGATAAATTTGATCTAAAGTGGATCAGAAGTAGGAGTTCCAAAACTAGGCCCTTTTCCTTGGAGTGTTCGAGCATAATATATACAATTAATCCCAGCGACTTCAATTTAATCAACTATGTTGAGATATTTAGTTGGTAGAACTACCTGAGTCTAGGGTGCCCTGCAGACACACAAAGTGGGGAAAGAAGGAGGTAGTTGTCCTTTCGAAAATAAGAAGCGGCATTCCATGAAAAGATAGATTCTTTTCCCCCTACTGTTTTGAACGTGGCATAACGTGGTGACTGCCATCAGCAGCACAGATTTACTATACTTATATGAAATATTCTAGAATCGAAGAGTTTAACGAAGAGCAATGAATTAAAAAAAAAAAAAAAAAAAATTCTCACGGTGCAGTACAAGACCGCCCAGGTCATTGTCTAACGGAATTTTCAACACTGAGCAGAGACAGAAGAATATTATATTGTACTGAAGCGGAATAATGAGAATGTGAGAGATTTTAGCTTATCCGAGCGGGAAATATAGCATCGGCAATTTGTGTTAGACTATGTACTTCCATCTTTCTCTCGAATGGGGACATGCCTATCGATAAGGTAGAGAAATAATGAAAAGAAGGTAGGATTTAACTTCAGATCTTGGCTCGTCAGATTCTTGGGCAGATGTTCTAGTTCTACTGTCGCGTCCCAATAAAAAATTAACCAAAGTGAAACTCGGGAATTTAGGCACGAGTGTCGACTAATGTGAGAGTCTGTTCTCATTACCGTACTTTGAGTCTGAGGTCGAATGATCCTACTATGAACGCGTGTAAAGATTGTTTATCTACAAAGGTCCTCTCACCTCAAGAATAAGTTTGCTATGTTGAACGCTCGTTGGTGTGAGGATAGGCCATCATTACCACTTAGTTCAGGGCGCGCATATACAGTCGGAGGAGTCGTTGAACATATCGACATCTGAAAAATGTGTTCAACGTCTGGTCCAGCCGATCCCTCCAAGCGATGAGATCGAAGACCCACCACCGTACCCATGTTTCCAATTTCTTTTTTCCTTTTCTTTTCCACCTCACATGTTTGGTAATTACTATTTAATGTGGAGGACAGCTGATATTAGCTAAAAACACGAAATAAAGGTCAATCAAGTCGAGTGGGTCTGCTTAATAATTATGGAATTCTAAACTCTCTCGGATATTTTCGTCTGGTGAACTCGTTTCTATGGGCCATGGTTGAATATACCCTCTTTGATGAATAAATAGAAATACTACCGTTGTTCTTGTTTTCTGTAAACATCGGGCTGTTCACCAATATCATTGTTCAATCCAACTAGCCAAAGAGGAGGACATTTGCCTTCCGGACCCACTGTATTCGTTGTGGAATGTTGGTACTTACAGTATCAATGGATTAGCTCACCAACAATGTACCGTACCGCCCTCATTTGCTGGTGGGGGAAGGGAGTGTTCAACACATGCCGGTACCGGATGAACACTAAACAATAGCAGCTGTCTTCATTGTGCCAGTCCAGGAAAGATCATGCTGAACGGGTCTCCCCGACATGATCAAATTTCGTCATATTCCATTTGATCAGTATAGTCGGAGACCGGAGGTATCCAGCGATGTGTTCTAGAAATTTTTCAACAATACAGTTTGCCCATCGGATTAAGTGGGTCCTGCCGGTATAGCATAGAATTATGAGACTTGGTACAGTGCAACTTGTTAAACACCCGATACAAGTTCCCCAAGGTCACCCCTCGGTTGGCTTTTTCGACTGAGAGCGAACATTAGGTTACTCAGTTTAAAACCAAAGTTTCTGACTAGCCAGATGGGTTCATTCAACACTGAAACATACACACCCAATTCAGTGCTTCCTCTTGTAAATTCTTTTTCCTTTCCTATTGTCTGCTTTTCCCACTGTCCTCTCTTATTAGACTGTGACGACAGGATGGCCGGGATTTGAAATGTTGAGCTCAATTTTTTAGTTACTGTAATGGTCAAATTTTTAAAAACTACATAATGCCTGGTTAGTAGATTAGTCTCAACCCTAGCGATGTCCGAAAGGTTCAACACCCAAGTGTCGAACAGTTGCTTGAAGGCAGAAGTTCAACCATAAACAGGGAGGCCACATTGTTTCCGTGCTAGGATTTAGCCTCATATAGAAATCCTATTTTAGGGTAACTTCGCTTTCATTTTAGGAGTGTATCATTAGGAGCGGAATCCTACTCAAAATGCGGTTTACGGTTTTGCTTTCCTTTTATTCTATTGTGTAATGGGGATGTTCAACGAGTTGAGAATGACCACTTAACCCACATCGTGCCGCACTAGTGTGTTGGTGTAATGGATAGGCCCATTAAGCCTGGCTTTATAATCAAACTCTTAGTTAACTGTGTTATTGTAGATAGCTGGACAGTTATATACTACGTACAAATTTTGAGGCGGACATGTGAAAGCGGAGAGCGCAACTGCCTCTAAGTTGGCTTCCAGCTGGATTTCTTTTTTGCTTTTTTTTTTTTTTTTTTTTTTTTTTTTTTTTTTTTTTTTTTTTTTTTTTTTTTTTTTTTGCACGGACGGCTTTAGCAAGCAATTATTATACTTATGCAACTGAGGAGAATTTTACTCAATCTGGGTTGAAATAATGTTTTGATCTGGATATAATAGCTGCGAAAGATCTGGTGAAATGTCACCCTCTTGTTCTTTGGCGGCCGAACGGAGAGCCCTCTTACCTGAAAATGTTGTTGGGCCTACCTCCTGAATTATTACCGATGATATTTCAGAATGTTAGCCATCCGTGTTCGCAAGCATCATAATATGCTGACATGCCATATTAGCTGAAGAACCGCGATCTGTGGGCATTATTCAATACCTCAAAGGGTATTCGACACAATGCTGCCAAGATTCTCTTTCGACGAATCAAAATCGACCATGCACCATGCAACTTTCCCGAGTCCCTGAACGACAGGCTCCTACCAGCAACTAGAATTTTCCAACTCTTAGGCGAGTGGTTACCACTTGTTCGAGAGGTGCACATCTTTTGCCACCGAGCTGTGGAGCCTTGCATGCTAAACCTGTTGAGTCGATTCCCTAATGTACAGCGATGCCGGTAAGGCTTTTGGGATCATCTCTTCACTGTCATGCCGTCTACTGATGCCAAAAAAACTATTAGTCTCGATGCCGAGAGAAGCGATGAGAGCACAAATAGTTTAAAGCACCAGCTCATTGAGCAGCCAGCCCTTCGAGAGTGGCTTCTTTTTCACACTATTCCTGGCTCCTGGCCACTTCTGCCACCATTCCAGTCGCTGCAGACGCTGGAGATAGAAAGTCTATCAAGTGGCATTCTAGTGGTGCCCGCTATGCCAGCTCTCTTGGATCTTCAAATTCATTTTGATATGGAGTTTTATTGTTCGGAGGAAGACGCGTGGGATAGGGACTGCGCTGTTCTCGTGGACTTTTCGATGCTACCGAGACTTTCTAAACTGACTATTTCTTATTTGTAGCTTGGTGGATTGATCTTCTATGGGAAATTAGAATCTCTAAAAACCTTGGAAGTAATACAGTCAGAGGGTGAGTTGAGCGACAAGTTGAGCGATATCCTCCGCGAGATTGGAGTAGGGCTGGAACAAATCATTGTGAACGACTCGTGGGGCACATGTCGAGCCCTAAACGTCGAGCTATTTTCCCTCAAAAAGATCCATCTGCTTAGGTCACCCGGATTCTTACCTTTTTTGCTCATAAACAAATTCCCTGCTTTGGAAGAAATTACCTGGGAGTGTTCCGTCTGGGGAGCGTCTTGCTTGTCTGAGGAACTCAAGGCCATTCGCAGCAATTTTCCAAATGATAAAAATGACTGGGCGAGTATTATGCAACTGACCAATAGTAACGGATATCTGACCCTATTTATCGATTTAGCGAGACGGCATCTGATCGACTGCTTCGAACGCATAAGAGACTGATCTCCTATCATGTGCTTCCACATTTCAATACAATTGTACGCGGTATTCTTAAAGATTTGTCATTTTTTTAAACACTTATGGTGAAAACAACAACATAATATTAAAATAAACAATACAGAGTTTCAAGTAGACTCGCCGACTCCATATTTTTTTAATCCAAGGAGTTTACCTAGAGACAAGGATGCCCTGCGAGTAGACATCGTCTTGCTTAGTGATTCAAAATGTTATTGAAAGTTGGCACAACCACTCTGATGGGAACACACTGGCCATTCCTCAATTCATGCACTTTTATTTAATCTGCATATGGTGTTTTAAAGAATAGATACAACAAACCACAAGACACTTTCCCAATGCCGGCCTCTATGTACCATCACAATTAGGCGAGAACGAATCATAGTCCGCGCCCTTCACCATTACTTGATCATCCCATACAAAGAGCACCATCTCGTCAAAGTACAAGCCAGGCTTTTTCAGCATATTATAAAAAGAACTTTAATTATAACTGGCGTAAGACCACTGGCTGCCCTTTTTCATTTGGATGCGCCTTCATATTGCCAGATTGGTACATATTGGAGCGAGGCTGTCTGTTCGTACGCTCATTGCAGCCAGCAGCCTTGGTCATCTGGAGGTAGTGAGCTCATTACTGACAATCATATCATGGATTAATGCTAAGGCTGAGGCAGTAAACTTAAACAACACAAGCGATCTATCAGCAAGGCATAACAAGCATCCACCTAGAAAGGAGAACTTCCTGAAATATATCTTATTACTTAAGAAAAAAGACTTCAAACAGAACACACATTGCTGGAATAGGGTTCGTGAGTTCCTGTCGAGCTATCGGGAATTTACTCATACTCAGTTGCAAAAGTCAATGTCTGAGTACTGTAGTCCACTTTTCTTGATTAAGATACTAATATATACTACTACTTCGTATGAAAGTATGACCTAAC